GACAAGAAAGGAACACTGTATGTCAGTGATTATGGGAACCATCGTATACAGATCTTCACCTAATAACACAACAACACAAAAACCCACCTGTACTTTGGTTTGTGTCTTTTGTACTAGTGATAACTATTTAATCTTGAACAAAATAAAACAGGGGATGAACAAGTATGATGTATGTACTAAAGTCTATTCACGTTCACCTGAGCCCTGGAAGTGGTTGTGTAAACAGTTTATACAGACACCACATACTTTACTTATGACATACTTTTCTTATGGGACATACAGCTAACTTTAAGTAATAAGGTTCTGTGGTTAGTGAAGGATACCATCAGAACTGGAAAGGTGCTAGGATTCCAATGGCGTTATCGTTTTTACAATTGGATGTAAAATACAAGAGTTATGACAATTTTTTTAAGTCTCAGTCAAATGGACTTTAGGTTAAGGGCTACCTACTTTAACCCTTTGCACAAAACTGTATACAAGCAACAATCACATGTACAAAGTATTAACGCCTAGTATTAAAACCTCTCTGCTTATGGAGCTCTGGACACATTTACGTGTCCGTGGCTAGTTAAGTGTTAAAATTGCTAACAGCTCCTGTGGCTGTGGTGTGCGATTGGCTTGAATTTCACATAAGAGGAAGTGTCTGGTATAAATGAATATGCAGTTGAACGAGGTACTGTTGTGCATTACGAATATCAAGGACAATTCGGACGACAGAGTTAGCTCACTCCCACTTGTCAATTAAAAGGTGCGATTTTCCTGAAACTGAATACTACAAGAGTTAGTTATGGGCATAAAACACAAGTGAAGGAGCATATGCTAATAAGCAAAGTGTGTGTCTGTATCATGCACTGTACCACACAGAGTTCTTGAAGGACGCGTATCCAGCCCAGCATCGTGAATTTGTCCTCCACACAATCCCTGAATTGTCGCCACACTACTAATGACATGAATTTGTATGTGAATGATGTAGTGTGAGGACTGGCAAAGAGATTTGGTGCAGGACTAAGAATGCAGCATTGTAAAACTGGTTATAAAACATGGAAGTTTTAGACTGCACATATAGTTGTATAGTTGAGCGAACATTGAAGGCACACAATGCAGTCACATCTCAATAGCTGTCAGAGAGGGCAACACCTGTGCATGCATCATGTGCTTAGTGCTTATAATACTCATAGCTGCACATTATACAACGGAATGCAGCATTGTAAAACTGGTTAATAGTTGAGCGAACATTGAAGGCACTCAATGCAGTCACAACTTACAACTCAATAGCTGTCAGAGAGGGCAACACGATTACCAGTCTCATGTCCTTAGTGATATACTCATAGATGCACATCATTATACTGTAGCATTGTAAAACATGTAGTTGAGCAAACATGGAAGTTTTAGACTGCACACAATGCAGTCACAACTCAGTAGCTGTCAGAGAGGGCAACACCTGTGCATTACTATAATATATAGCTAAAAGGTAGTAATGCCATGTGGTTACTATAATCTACTCATAGAGACGCTGAAGAATATCTGTATCTCTAATTGAGGTTTGCCTGTTTGAATGAAAATAAAGATTAGATACATACAATGTGTAACAATTAATGTATACTGCTGAACTCCAAAGGGTGGATTGGCCTCGCCCCATTCGGGAGTGTATTACATGTCAGGAGTATAAAGAGGCCGAAACATGTAATACATGATGAACAATGGGGAACTCCCCTGATGACCAGTGCAGTCACATAGATGTATATATAAGACTCTGATTCAGGAGACTACCAATATCAAAACCTCTATATATTTGCCATTCGAATGCGTGTTTCTCAATGCCCCGTTAAAAATATCTCTCTCTCTCTCTCTTTCCTCTCTCTCTCTCTCTCTCTCTCTCTCTCTCTCTCTCTCTCTTCTCTCTCTCTCTCTCTCTCTCTCTCTCTCTCTCCCTCTCTCTCTCTCTCTCAGCTCCGCCGTATTTTCAGTGACTTCAGTATGTTTGTGTCCATCCTGACAATGGTCATCATAGCCTACCTCCTCCGTGACAAGATCACCGTGGAAACGCTGGTAGTCCCCGCCCGTTTCCAGCCCAGCTGTCCGTCTCGGGCTTCCCTCGGGTGGATCATTAACCCTTTCGCCTCTGACGGGATGGAGATATGGATGTATTTCGCCGCTTTCATTCCAGCTGGACTGGTAAGGCCAGTGGCTAGAGGGTTTTAATTTAAACTAGTTTAGTCCTGATTTCATGTTAAAGCTATTGAGGCCTCACTATTTCTCAGTCTCTTGCTTGAGCTTGTCTCGCTAGATTTCTCCTCAATGTTACTGCATCCATAAACTATCCTCTACGTTTAGAGCTGTTTTGAACTGTCCTCCTAAAGTTTCCACCTTTTAAATGTCCTGAAAGTTTTTTTAGCCACCCCCAAAAGTTCGGTGGTGACCTGTTCACCTCTAAAGTTTGGTGTTTTTCTGAGCCACTGTCTAAAGTTTTGACTAACCATAAAGGTTTGTGCTCAAAGTTAACTTACTGTGCATTGATTTACATACTTCACTTGCGAATTGTTGTCTTTATTTTCCCCTCTCCCCCTCCTCTCCTCCCTCCATCCTACCCTACACAGCTAGCCATCCTGATATTCATAGAGAACCAGCTGACCCTCATTCTGGTGAACAAGGCAGAGCACAAGCTGCAGAAGGCAGTTGGCTACCACTATGACCTCCTGCTGGTGGCTCTGGTGAATGGACTGGGGGGAGTTATGGGCATGCCTTGGGTCTGCGCCGCCGCTGTTCGGTAAGGAGGAGGGGAGAGTGGAGGGAGATGGATAAGGAATAGAGAACAGGGAAAAGAGGGAGGAGCGAAGGAGGGAGGAGGGAAGAAAGGGAGGAACTGGGAGCAGGGAAAACGGAAGGAAGTATAATAGTTATACAGCGAGTCTGCGATATTGACACATTATATAGAAGCCCGAGGGCCTTTATGCACATAGATTTCGCGTGGAGTGAACTCTAATTGTCACACACCTGATTTCATGCTTGGGGTCGAGTAATGGCGCCTAAAATTCACGAAATGTGAATTCCTCAAAATTTAGAACACATGGAAATCGGCAGAGTAAGCTCTAAATGTAACAGAGATGGCATCTTGAACTCACTGCAAGATGCATATAAACATTTCTCAACTTCAGTGCACTGTGGTAAAATTGTGACCGCTGAACCCACTCCTCTCCCTGATCTCTCTCCCACAGCTCGGTGCAGCACGTGCAGGCAATGAGTGTGTTCAAAGCCCACAATGCTCCCGGAGAGAAGCCTGTACTGTTGAGAGTCTACGAGCAGAGGTTGACAAATTTCGTAGTCCACCTCCTCATCTGTGAGTTTCAATTTCAGAGTGGCAGATCAGATATGTGTATGTCTGCCTGCATTTTGTTGTCACAACTCCACCACAACCAAAGCATAGCCCACGTCTCACCCCTTTCTGGCCTCTTGGCAGGACAGAGAGGGGCGGGGTTAATGTTTTTCCTGTAAACTGCTTGAAGTGAAGATCAGACCTTACATGCACTCCATCTCAATGCTCGGGTGTACAAGAGCTTACTTAAGGGAATATGGCAATATATAAGGGCTAAAGTTGAACACCGTTACTAAATATGGAGATTTAGTGCATTCTCTTACTGGGCCCTTTTGTCTAGCACCATTTGAAATAAATTTTAGCCCTTATGTACCGACGCATCCTCTTTAATGTTGTTCAGTGCTCGCCATCATGCATGATCATGTCCTCTAATTGACTCCACCCATTGCTCTGAGTGCATGGTCGATGGTTAAAGTGCTATGGCTGCCACCTGAGTACAGTGGAACCTCCATTCATTATTATTCCCCCTTCCCTCTTGTCCAGTGCTAACTCCCCTGGCCTACAAGGGTCTGAGGCTGATCCCCATACCGGTGGTCCTGGGAGTCTTCCTCTACCTCACCTACTCCTCTCTCAGCGGAGTCCAACTCACCAAGAGGATCCAGCTCCTCTTTACTCCGCCCAAACACCACCCTGACCTCTTCTATATCAGGAAGGTCTGTCACATTCTGTTTCTTATGTGATTCCCGACACTCTCTGACGCTATTGTGTGATACCCGACACTCTCTGACGCTATTGTGTGATTCCCGACACTCTCTGACGCTATTGTGTGATTCCCGACACTCTCTGACGCTATTGCGTGATTCCCGACACTCTCTGACGCTATTGCGTGATTCCCGACACTCTCTGACGCTATTGCGTGATTCCCGACACTCTCTGACGCTATTGTGTGATTCCCGACACTCTCTGACGCTATTGCGTGATTCCCGACACTCTCTGACGCTATTGTGTGATTCCTGACACTCTGTGTTACACTGTGTGATCTCTTGTACATCAGGAAAGTGATTCTGTGTTTTCTGACACTATCTGTGACCTATTATGTTATTCCTGTTCCATTGTGTGATTTGTATTACGGTATGTGTTACATTGTGTGATTATACTGACACTATATAATGTTACATTGTGTGCTGACATTGTGACAACGTAATGTTACATTGAGATTTCTGACACTGCACTACATTGTGTGTTCCTGCACAAAGTGTAATTCATTTCACTGACCCATTCTCAAACTTGCAGGTCCGGACAATTCGAACACATGTACACCATCATTCAGGTCAGTTGTACACCACATCAACCACACAGGTCCCTCTTCCTCCCTTTCTCTGTTTCATCACCTTATACTGGTGTACTGTCAATAAAGGACACCTCTCTATAAGGGACACTTGGCTCTGCCCCGTACTAATACATTAGCATATTATTATACTACCTCTGAATGAGGGACATCTCTGCATTAAAGACACTTTCAATGTCCCAGAAGTGCCCCTTATTCAGAGGCTTCACTATGTATGTTTGTCCTCAGGTGGTGCTGGTGTGTTTGCTGTGGGGTCTGAAGCTGTCTCCAGCTGGAATGATCTACCCCGTGGCCATCGTCGGTCTCATTCCCATTCGCATGTACCTGCGTCACTTCGTCTTCTCTCACTCCGAGATGGAGGCAGTGAGTGAACTGGACACTAACTACAGACGTCGTGTCATAACCAAGAGGCCGAGGCCCTGGGGTTGTGGTGTTCTTGGCTCAGCAAGGAAGCCACTACAGAGGCTTCTTAAATTGCATGGTTCCATGACTCATCGTATAACTATTTTAGAGTGGGGCGTATGCAAAGTGTACATACGTATGTGCAAAGGCCCCGAGGGGTGAATACTATCCAATAGCGTTCCTCCATAGTAATCCTCGTTAGTATTCCTCCTCATCTTACAGAGGAAACTACGTAGACTAGCTTTCTCCTAGTTGACCTATCAGATTTGAGTATTTAAAAATGCCTTACTCTAACTGGGAGTTGCATTAGGGAGGTGGCATACATATTATTAGGTGTTGTCGTCAGATATTGCAGCAGCTATATGAGATTCTTCCTCTGGAATTGTGAATACTGTAGGTAATGATTTAAATAATTATACTGTCTGATAAAATTCTAGGCTACATATAAAACATACACGAACAAAATGAAAGTCTTGTCCGCTACAAGTTCTTGTTATTTCTCAGTTTTACCTAGAAGTCCTTTCTATTTCTCCCTCCCTCTCCCTCCCTCTCCCTCCCTCTCCCTCCCTCTCCCTCTCCCTCTCCCTCCCTCTCCCTCCCCAGCTGGACAGCGAAGAAGACTTCCCTGAAGATGCAGAAGAAGAAGAGGATGACTTGAGAGACTTTCATGTTCCTTATTAGTGCCCGCCTTGTTTGTTTTTACGTCACCATGACAACTGTGTGTGCACAATTTACAGTTATATTTTTATTTAATGTGCTGCAATGTCTGCATATAATATTAGTTTAACCACACCCTTTTCTGCTTTTTGACAGTCTGTTGCATTGACAAGTATAATTATGGTGATTGTTAACGTTGTAACTCTTTATACTAAAATTTTATTACGATAACAAGACATATTAATAAATATTATCTACATTATTAGTAATTGTGAGCCAAGATGATAGAAAAAACCTTACATGGTGAACAATGAAGTAGGATGTTTTGATGAAGAACCATTGTGGAAGAATGAGACGAGAGAGGGTCATGAGGTATGTTACCTCACACCAAGGATGAGAGGTTTGGGATACCAAATTCAATAATTATGGAACCATAAATAATAATTGTTGGCCCTAATGATACAAGGTATAAAGAAGACAAGTGAAAGATTCGTGTGGGTGAGGTGTTCTATTTTTGAAGAACCGTGGTTCAATAGTCAAAACATGGAGGGAGAGCATAAGGAGAAGGAAGAGGGAGGAGAGTTCAGAATGAGTGTGGGTCCTTGATGAAGGAGCAGCAGAGGAGGAGGAGGGAGGGACAGTTCAGAATGAGGTGTGGGTCTTGATGAAGGAGCAGCAGAGGAAGGAGAGAGGGAGGGAGAATTCAGAATGAGGTGTGGATCTTGATGAAGGAGCAGCAGAGGAAGGAGCGAGGGAGGGAGAATTCAGAATGAGGTGTGGGTCTTGATGGAGGAGCAGCAGAGGAAGGTGAGAGGGAGGGAGAGTTCAGAATGAGGTGTGGATCTTGATGGAGGAGCAGCAGAGGAAGTGAGAGGGAGGGAGAGTTCAGAATGAGGTGTGGGTCTTGAAGGAGCAGCAGAGGAAGGAGAGCATAAGGAGGGAGGGAGGGAGTGAGAGTTCAGATTAGGTTTGGTCTGATGAAGGAGTAGCAGAGGAAGGAGAGAGGGAGGGAGAGTTCAGAATGAGGTGTGGGTTTTGATGGAGGAGCAGCAGAGGAAGGAGAGAGGGAGGGAGAGTTCAGAATGAGGTGTGGGTCTTGAAGGAGCAGCAGAGGAAGGAGACCATAAGGAGGGAGGGAGGGAGTGAGAGTTCAGAATGAGGTTTGGGTCTTGATGAAGGAGCAGCAGAGGAAGGAGAACCACCACCGAAGGAGAACGTGTGGCTCCACCCACCATGACCTCCAGTGAAACTGAATCCTCCCATTCCTCCTCCGAACACGGTACTGAAGAGGGTGGTGGGGTCTATGTCCATACCCATATAATACCCTGAGAGAGAGAGAGGGGGGGAATCAGAATGGCAAACACAGTAGGGCACACTAGACACACTATACAGTGCAACCTCCAATCAGGGACGACCTCTCTACAAGAACAGTCATTTCAATCCCATTGTATGACTGTAGTGACCTCTGAGATAGGGACAACCTCTCTACAAGGGACAAATCATTGGCCCCATCGTGTGTCTTGTTCGGAGGTTCCACTGTTGTTACACTGGACATATACCACACTACACAAGAACAAGCGGCACACAGGCGGCAAATCTGAAACACACTTTGGTTAATCCGGAACCCTCCACACTTTGGTCGCTCTGTTAACCTCCACGCTTTGGTCACTCTGTTACCCTCCACGCTTTGGTCACTCTGTTACGCGCTCTCTGGTCTCTCTTCCTCTGTCTCGCTATACTTGCTGTGTGTTTGACTCAGTCTCCCTCTCACGCAGGGTGTGCAACCAACCCAACACTGCTCTCTGGTCTCTCATCCTCTGTCTCGCTACACTTACTGTGTGTTTGACTCAGTCTCCCTCTCACGCAGGGTGTGCAACCAACCCAACACTGCTCTCTGGTCTCTCATCCTCTGTCTCGCTACACTTGCTGTGTGTTTGACTCAGTCTCCCTCTCACACAGGGTGTGCAACCAGCCAAACACTGCTCTCTGGTCTCTCATCCTCTGTCTCGCTATACTTGCTGCGTGTTTGACTCAGTCTCCCTCTCACACACGGGTGTGCCACCAGCCAACACTGCTCTCTGGTCTCTCATCCTCTGTCTCGCTACACTTGCTGTGTGTTTGACTCAGTGTCCCTCTCACACAGGGTGTGCAACCAGCCCAACACTGCTCTCTGGTCTCTCATCCTCTGTCTCGCTACACTTGCTGTGTGTTTGACTCAGTCTCCCTCTCACACAGGGTGTGCCACCAGCCCAACACTGCTCTCTGGTCTCTCATCCTCTGTCTCGCTACACTTGCTGTGTGTTTGACTCAGTCTCCCTCTCACACAGGGTGTGCAACCAGCCAAACACTGCTCTCTGGTCTCTCATCCTCTGTCTCGCTATACTTGCTGCGTGTTTGACTCAGTCTCCCTCTCACACAGGGTGTGCCACCAGCCAAACACTGCTCTCTGGTCTCTCATCCTCTGTCTCGCTACACTTGCTGTGTGTTTGACTCAGTGTCCCTCTCACACAGGGTGTGCAACCAGCCCAACACTGCTCTCTGGTCTCTCATCCTCTGTCTCGCTACACTTGCTGTGTGTTTGACTCAGTCTCCCTCTCACGCTTGGTGTGCAACCAGCCCAACACTGCTCTCTGGTCTCTCATCCTCTGTCTCACTACACTTGCTGTGTGTTTGACTCAGTCTCCCTCTCACACAGGGTGTGCAACCAGCCCAACACTGCTCTCTGGTCTCTCATCCTCTGTCTCGCTACACTTGCTGTGTGTTTGACTCAGTCTCCCTCTCACACAGGGTGTGCAACCAGCCCAACACTGCTCTCTGGTCTCTCATCCTCTGTCTCGCTACACTTGCTGTGTGTTTGACTCAGTCTCCCTCTCACGCTTGGTGTGCAACCAGCCCAACACTGCTCTCTGGTCTCTCATCCTCTGTCTCACTACACTTGCTGTGTGTTTGACTCAGTCTCCCTCTCACGCAGGGTGTGCAACCAGCCCAACACTGCTCTCTGGTCTCTCATCCTCTGTCTCGCTATACTTGCTGTGTGTTTGACTCAGTCTCCCTCTCACACAGGGTGTGCAACCAGCCCAACACTGCTCTCTGGTCTCTCATCCTCTGTCTCGCTACAATTGCTGTGTGTTTGACTCAGTCTCCCTCTCACGCTTGGTGTGCAACCAGCCCAACACTGCTCTCTGGTCTCTCATCCTCTGTCTCACTACACTTGCTGTGTGTTTGACTCAGTCTCCCTCTCACACAGGGTGTGCAACCAGCCCAACACGGCTCTCTGGTCTCTCATTCTCTTGTCTCTGCACCTTCTTCATCGCCCTCCTCCTCACCAAACTACGTCGCGGGAAATTCCTGCGGAAAAAGGTACATCTTGCCTGTAGCCCTGGTCCTTAGGGAGCGCAAACACTTTTATAGTACCTTTAATGCCGGCTACTAATTTTCGCGACTTTAGCCAGAACCATGATTGATATTGTGCATGTGCACACATAGCGGTTAGTTGAGCGTAGTTTCACATGTTTATACTCGACTGGAGCTTTACTCTGGTGTCTGGAAACAAAAAGAAGGCCTTGCAAAGCTTTGTGGTTCTATACTTTGGGTCAGTTGGAGCACAAGAGAAGAAGGATGAAATTGGATACAGGCACAAACTTTGACTGTTTGTCAACAAGGAACGGCCCGACCTCTACGCCTGTTCTTAACCATCTTCCAGAGACTGACTTTTTCTGTTTTTAGTGGATGTGGTTATATTGACACTCATTTGAATGTATGTTGGTGGATACCAAAGCACCTTCGAGTCCACTGCACGTGACAAGCTGCGTGAGAAAAGCCACAACAGGCGGGCGTTTGCTTGGTTAGTGTATGAGAGGCTTTGGCCGAACCATTCTTGTGTCTGTAGGCTTGAAGGTTCCACTACTGATGTGCAGGTAGCGTACTAACAGAAACACTGCGTCGTCTGCCAGATAGGTGAGAGTTTCGGTTGTGCCGGATGGACGCATCAGCGTGCATGAGCGGTGACAGTAGTACGAGCCAGCTAGGTATAACCTCTAGAGTAGCGGGGAAAACTCTGTAGCGGTGCAAAAGGTAGGCCTATTGCCCCAGAAACCCCTAAGATGACAGTAAGTGGCGTGAGACACAGAAACGCGTCTTCCCGGTTCCTCGAGGCAGACGGGCCAGTTTCCTTCATCCTTACCGATTTTCAACTGCGTTTGGCAGCTGAACTTTGTGTATAACCAACATATTTTTTTGGTTCTTTAGACTCTCTTCTACAGTTCTAGACGTTCGGACCTCAAAATAGAGTAAGCATGGCCGCTCAAAAAAGGTTTAGACCCACACGGATTTTACACGGTTCAATGGGGAACGCATGCGGTGCGGGAGGTTGTAGTTGGCCGAAAGACTCCACGGTGAATATTTTGTGCTTGGGCGGTGGAGGAGTCGTCGTTCTTGACTTCTAGACGTTCGGACCTCTCCGGAGTTGGTAGACCATCAAGCAACGCTGCAAGAAAGTTTATGTTCCCATTGAACTCCATACATTTCACCCGCGCGGATTTTTTTACATTCCAGAGGCATGTTTTCTTGTAACGTCCGCGGATTCCTGGTAACGACTGGGTGGTTATGTGATTCGTCAGACCACTTGTTTCAGTATTCATGATCTCACTATAATCTCCAAATAAGGTGAGGCATGAAACAGTCTACAAATCTCAGGCTGTGAATATTGGTAGAGATACAGAAAAGTCAAGGGCTGTTTCCTGTCAGCCTCGGATTCACCCATTTATTGAAGTTAGCCCACCGCCCTTGCTTGCTTCTTTCTTGGGCAGCTTGCTTGCCTCAGTCTTCACTAGACCCTCTGCTGCACTACTGACAGAGCCATGGCTGCCAAACCCTCCACTGCTGCCGAGAAAGCTCTCCAGAAGATACAGGACCAGGTTACCTGTGGGATATGTCTGGAGCCATTCAAACAGCCGAGGCTGCTCAAGTGTTTCCACGTGTATTGCGAGCAGTGCCTGGTACGTGGGGGACGAGAGGGACAGAGTCTCCCATGTCCACAATGTCGCGAGGACACTCCACTGCCAGAGGACGGAGTCCCGGGACTCCAAGGAGCCTTCTACATCCACTACCTCTTCGACATCCAAGATGCTCTAAACAAAGTGAGCTCCAGCGAACAAACAATGTGCAAAAAGTGCACAAAACGTGAGGCAGTTGGCTTTTGTCGTACTTGCGGGTTTGCATGCCAGCGCTGCAAGGAACTCCATCAGGAATGGGAGGAATTCAAAACCCACGATTTTATTGACCTAAACACCTTGACAGAGGATGTGACAACCCTCGTTCCTCCTCTCAAGAGGACTCTATTTTGTGCCACTCATCCGTCAAAGAAAGCAAAACTCTCCTGCGAGACGTGCGACGAGTTGATATGTCGAGACTGCATCGTTCGTGTTCATCGCGACCACCAGTATGATCTGGTGCCCGAGTCGTTTGCCAAGCAAGAGAAAGTGATCGTGGACACTATCAAGCCAGTGGAAGAACAGATTGCTACGTTAGAAAGAGCCGTTGAGTCGGTGGACACTCGATGTGCTGCAGTCGTAGAACAGCAGACGGCTGTGGTAGCAGAGATCCGCACTACCATGGCACACCTGCGACAAACTCTAGAGGAAAGGGAGACAGAGCTGGTGGGTCAAGCTGAGCAGACGGCACAGCAGAAACTGAAGACCTTGGCAGCACAGCGTGACGGGTTTGAAGTGCAACTGGGCCAGCTGAGGCGCTGCCAGGACTTTGTGGAGGAGAGCCGACATGCTTGCAGCCAGGGGGAGATTCTGAGGATGAAGAGACCTCTCGTGAAACAAGTCAACGACCTGACAGGTAGCTTCAAGCCAGAGACATTGGCTCTTGCCGAGCAAGCCGACATTGTGTTTGCTTACAGCCTGCCTGAGCTTGTCAGATCTTCCCAGCAGTTTGGTAAGGTGTACTGTAATCCAGTGTGCCCTGAGAAGTGTCGAGCCTCAGGTGAAGGCATCAAGTTAGCCACGAGAGGGCAAACAGTGGCTGTCTCTGTAGAGGCTTTAGATAGGAAGGGAGAAGCCTGCGTACGACCTGTAGACAGCTTTAGGTGTGAACTAGTTGCTAGCGATGGCAGCAGTCGAGTCAGGGGCACTGTGAAGAGAAGAAGTCAGAACATCTACGACATTAGCTACCAGCCCCATGTCACTGGAGAACATCAACTACACATTCTAATAGAGGAGCACCCAATCTTGAACAGTCCGTTCACTGTCACCGTTCTACCCAACTTTATTACCCCAACCAACATCGTTGGACACCTCAATGTACCAAATGGTATAGCTGTCAGGGAGGGAGGTGAGGTTGTGGTAGCAGAACGGAGTAGTCACTGCATATCAATCATCAGTGGAAATGGAGAGAAGAAATCATTTGGTACTCGTGGCTCAGGTCCTGTTCAGTTCAACTACCCTGATGGTATAGCAATGGACAGCAAAGGAAACATTCTTGTGACTGACGACAACCATCGCATTCAGCAGTTGTTATCCACTGGCAAACACCTCAGAACAGTCGGTACAGAAGGCAGTGGACCACTTCAGTTCGTGTGTCCAGTAGGCATTACAGTTCATCCTCACACTGGCAAGGTGTATGTTGGTGACAAAGCCAACCACAGAATTCAGGTTCTGAACTCCGACCTCTCATACTTCAGTCGTTTTGGTAGGAAGGGCTCTAACAATGGAGAGTTCAACAAGCCTTATGATGTAGCTACAGACAGAGATAGCAATGTGTATGTTGCCGATTGTTACAACCACAGAGTCCAGGTCTTCACAGTCGATGGAGTGTACTTGAGGCAGTTTGGGAAGAAGGGAGAAGGAGAGGGAGAACTAAACCAGCCAGTCAGTATTGCTATTGACTCTGGCAATGTGTATGTTGGTGAACGAGGGAACAATCGTATATCAATATTCTCTACAGATGGAGAGTTTATAAAGTCATTTGGAAGAAAGGGAAAAGGTCCTGTGGAGTTCGATTGTCCATATGGACTAGCAGTAGACAAGAAAGGTACACTGTATGTCAGTGACTTTGGGAACCATCGTATACAGATCTTCACCTAATAACACAACAACACACAAACCCACCTGTACTTTTGTTTGTGTCTTTTGTACTAATTAATTTTGAACAAAAAAATAGGGGATGAGCAATGTTGTATAGTGAATATGATGTAACTAAAGTCTATTCACGTTCACCTAGTTGAAGGAAACCCATGGAACCAGTGAAACGTTTTCCTGTAAACTGCTTGAAGTGAAGATCAGACCTCACATGCACTCCATCTCAATGCTCGGGTGTACAAGAGCTTACTTAAAGGGAATGTGGCAATATATAAGGGCTAAAGTTGAACACCGTTACTAAATAGGGTGATTTAGTGCATTTTCTCACTGGGCTCTTTTGTCTAGCACCATTTAAATACATTTTAGCCCTTATGTACCGACGCATCCTCTTTTAAGCTGCTCCACTGAGAATGAAACACCACTACACTGAGAATGAAATCCTTACGACACCTGAAGGTGACCAAGTAGTTCCAAATAATGCCCACTTTGCCTTTCTAAATAATGCCCACTTAGCACTGATCTGTCCTTATTGGCCACCATTCTTGATAGTGCCCACGCCTTCTGAGATGGACAGGTGTTTTCTGCTGGTCTTGTGTCTAGTGACACTGTCTAATGTACAGCTGGGACAGTCTCAATGTGATGGTAAGGGAATAGATAATGCTTGGCATTGCAATAAGATGTGTTTGCTGCAGTTGTGAGGATTGCTGCAGCTGTGTATGAAGTTGTAGGACCAGCTTTGGAGACTATTGAGAAAGACATGAAGAATATGAAGTCTGACATAGCAAGCCTCAGTCAAAAGGTTGATAATCTCACACAGGAGGTTGAGAAACTTGACACCAGACTGGGTTCTCTGAATGAATCAATGAGAGATGATTTCAGAGGTGTCGAGAGAGGGTTTAATGGTCTCAATAGTGCAGCCAACATGATATCTGACAAGATTTACGAACACGACTATCAAATCACTACTAAACTGGTGAGAATGAACCAGAGCCTGACAGAACAGATTGTTAATAACACTGGAGGGTCAAAATGTGGAGGAACATGGGGTTGGAGAAGTGCAGTCTACCTGGATATGACAGACCCCAACACCAGCTGTCCCTCTGGCTGGCAGCTCACTGGATATTCCAAGAGAACTTGTGGCAGAGTTAGTACTGGATTTAGGACTTGGACTCAGTCTTCTTCCCTGTCAGTGGAGGACCATACAGTCAGGTGTGTGGCAGGATCAGAGCCTTCCAGCATGGAGTACCTGATGCCTTCTATGGGTATACCAATGGTGGACAAACTACAATTGACAGTGCCTATGTCAGTGGTGTGGCTGTAATGCATGGCAGTCCGCGACAACACATCTGGACATTTGCAGCTGGAGTATTTGAGAATATGACACAATTCCCAACCAACAAATGCCCATGTGACATTAGTGGTATTATACTAATCCCACCATTTGTTGGAGAAGATTACTTCTGTGAATCAGGGTATGTGTGGCCAGGGTACTTCCATAATACACAGTACAGCTTCGAACTGCGCATGTGCGGTACCACTAATTGATGGGCTGGGTTATTTATGCCTTTACTCGTGGTATCCCGCTAGTAGCTCGCGGAGAGTCTGGCACGGGCTAGCTACAGTAGTAAATAGCATGCGTGAGTCGATACATGCCCTTCGTTGTGACTTGTTGTGCCTTCAAGACACACAGAGCGAACGGACGCGGTCGAGGTAAGCCTGTGCTAATTTACATATTGGCTTGTTCACTTGGTTTTCACGCCATAACTTTGACTTGTTGTGCCTTCAAGACACACAGAGCGAACGGACGCGGTCGAGGTAAGCCTGTGCTAATTTACATATTAGCTTGTTCACTTGGTTTTCACGCCATAACTTTAAAACACAGTAGTTTTACGAAAATCGCCTTTTTTAAAATCAACCCAGTGTAGCACTGAACCCGATCATATCGTTATTTACCTGATTTCGTGCGCGCGGTGGCAGAAAACGTGGTATAACAGACAGACAGACTGACAGACTAACACACTTACGGGACAACTACCGTAACCCTCGCTGCGCATGCGCGCCGAGGGTTAATGAGAATGAGAATGACAGGACAGATCGTTAATAACAGTGTCCGTTATTCATGTGGAGGTACTGCAAATTGGAGACGTGCAATCTACCTGGATATGACGGACACCAACACCAACTGTCCCTCTGGCTGGAATATGACTGGATATTCCAAGAGAACTTGTGGCAGAGTTAGTACTGGATTTAGGACTTGTGGCTCAGTCTTCTTCCCTGTCAGTGGAGGACCATACAGTCAAGTGTGTGGCAAGATCAGAGCCTACCAGTATGTACCTGATGCCTTCTATGGGTATAACAATGGTAATTGACAGTACCTATTTTGCTGGTGTGGCTGTAATGCATGGCAGTCCTCGACAACACATCTGGACATTTGCTAACGGAGCATTTGAGAATACGACACAATACCCCGCCAGCGACTGTCCATGTGACATTAGTGGTATTATACCAATCATACTATTTGTTGGAGAAGATGTGATGTAAGATTATGAAATCAGTGGGGAGCACAATATTAAAAATGGGGTTCGACAATTGTAATTTGTTGCAATCAAGACAAAAATAACCGGCTTTTGGAGACCTGTAACTGAAACCAAGTAATGAAGTTGAGTGTATCTTAAAATCCCTTCACAACATCAGTTTGTTTATATACTCAGGATCTGATTGATATTGAAGACAGTTGTGATAATACTGACAGAGCAGATAGAATGACCTTATTTCCCATAAGTCATGTATAGAACGATAGGACGCGGTCGGTGTGCCGCGGCCGCGGTCTCGCTTGCCACTGGGAGCTGAATGAAGGGATGTGGTCGCCTCAGCCATCCCTCGCCTCTACAGACTCTACAGAACAGTCACCCCTCGCCTCTAAAGCCTCTACAGAACAGTTTTTGTCTACACTATGGGTACGATGCTGATACTAGTTCAATAATTCTTTTATTGAACGTTCAATATTGGTCATATTGAACGCGTGCTACAATACGGGAAATAAGAGTCTGTGCGGCTCCTTTTATCCACCCACGCAAGTCACAATAAACATATTATGTATAATCCCTCTCTTACTTCATTACCCTCACTCCCTCTCTTCCCTCTCTCCCAACAGTCAGATAAGGAGACATGAACACAGACTCAGTGAAGTGGCTCTGTCTGACAGAGAAGCTGCTCACGCCATTACAGAGTATCTCACCTATTTAAACCTCCCTCTCTCTCTTGCTGCCAACCCTCATAATAACACTGTCACACATCATCAGTTGACTGAAAGTTTATACAGCTCTCCCTTATGATGATTGTATTCATCAGTCTTCCAACCAGAGAAACCTGCATAAGGTTGTTCAAAGGTGTCTGCAGTTACCCTCGGCGCGCATGCGCAGCGAGGGTACTGTAGTTGGGTCTGTCTGTCTGTTACTCTACATCTCACCTCTCGAATGTCTGTTCGTCCCAGAAACGATACCATCTACCCAACGGGCGACGAAGGTCAGAAAATATGTGGGGTTTTCTCTGAAAATGCTCCGTTGCAGAGCTAGAGCGCTTCCAGCATTGTATGGCTAATGCCGTAGTCGCCATTTTATCGCTGGCGGATAATGCGCATGCGCTTATATTTAGCACAAGTTCGACCGGGGTCCGCTTGCTCTGTCTATCTTGAAGGCACAAGAAGTCACAACGAATGGCGTGTATCGACTCTCGCTTGCTATCTACTACTGTAGCTAGCCCGTGCCAGACTCTCTGCGAGCTACTTCGCCTAGGGTTTGCACTTTCATTTACACTGTTCCCATTCAAGTAATGGTGGTGGTCTGATGGATAAGCACCCCCTCTCTTAATCGTGAGGTCATGGTTCGATCCCGGGGGGTGTGCGCCTTTTTTACAATGATGTAATAGGAGTGTTGGTATAACTGGAACGTTTTTTCATCACCTCTCAAGGCCAGCACGAGTGGCTAGGTGGTTAGAGTCGTGGGGACTGACACCATAGGTGCCCGGTTCGAATCCTCGATCCCGCACTAAAGTGTCAGGTGGTCCAGAACATTGGCTGGGAACAGCTCTAGTTCCTCCCCTTACCCACAAATCTACCACTGACCCACGTTTCTCAAAGGGCAGCGTACAGTTCGGCATAGCACTGCGTCCGTAGACGTCTGTCTGGAGAGATGAAGGGCTGGCCGTTTTCAACCTTGGGTTTTTAAAAATGTTTTTTTTTGCACTAAACAATCCACGGGTAATACGAAAATTAATAGAGAGATAGGTTGGCAATTTTTCTACCTTATATATTTTTTGGGCCTCAAACAGAAATAGGGCTGCCCAACCTATTGAATGGAAATGGTGCATAACATGCTCTTCTTTTTGATGCATGGTCAAGACCATCAATTGTGGTGGTGCCACACTTGTGTATGGGTTCCACATTTCTATAGAGTGTGGGAGGGTTTGCACTTTAGTGCTTTTCATTGTTTCTGTGTATCTGCTAATCTTTAGGCTACTAATCTTCCCAAGTTATGCAAGCTGGTATGTATAGTGCAGCCTAATGAGGTTCTTTAGCTTACCTCTGTTATTGTAACACCAGGGTTATCTATAGGTAGCTTGGCTGTAGTGGTGCAGGGAGCTTCTGAGATGGACTGGTCTTATCTGCTGGTCTTGTGTCTAGTGACACTGTCTAACATACAGCTGGGACAGTCTCAATGTGATGGTAAGGAAATAGATAATACTGGTCTTGGCATGGCAATAAGATGTGTTTGCTGCAGTTGTAAGGATTGCTGCAGCTGTGTATGAAGTTGTAGGACCAGCTTTGGAGACTATTGAGAAAGACATGAAGAATATGAAGTCTGACATAGCAAGCCTCAGTCAAAAGGTTGATAATCTCACACAGGAGGTTGAGAAACTTGACACCAGACTGGGTTCTCTGAATGAATCAATGAGAGATGATTTCAGAGGTGTCGAGAGAGGGTTTAATGGTCTCAATAGCGCAGCCAACATGATATCTGACAAGATTTACGAACACGACTATCAAATCACTACTAAACTGGTGAGAATGAACCAGAGCCTGACAGAACAGATTGTTAATAACACTGGAGGGTCAAAATGTGGAGGAACATGGGGTTGGAGAAGTGCAGTCTACCTGGATATGACAGACCCCAACACCAGCTGTCCCTCTGGCTGGCAGCTCACTGGATATTCCAAGAGAACTTGTGGCAGAGTTAGTACTGGATTTAGGACTTGGACTCAGTCTTCTTCCCTGTCAGTGGAGGACCATACAGTCAGGTGTGTGGCAGGATCAGAGCCTTCCAGCATGGAGTACCTGATGCCTTCTATGGGTATACCAATGGTGGACAAACTACAATTGACAGTGCCTATGTCAGTGGTGTGGCTGTAATGCATGGCCGTCCTCGACAACACATCTGGACATTTGCAGTTGGAGTATTTGAGAATATGACACAATTCCCAACCAACAAATGCCCATGTGACATTAGTGGTATTATACCAATCCCACCATTTGTTGGAGAAGATTACTTCTGTGAATCAGGGTATGTGTGGCCAGGGTACTTCCATAATACACAGTACAGCTTCCACTCCAATGACACTCTCTGGGATGGTAAAGACTGTCACTCCACCAGTACATGTTGCTCTTTCCACAACCCTCCATATTTCACCAAAACCCTCAACCAGACAACTACTGATGACCTTGAACTGAGAATGTGTTTATGGGATGACAATGGCAACATAGCAGTGGAACTGGTTGACTTGTACGTCAAGTAGCTGTGTACTGTCCTATATTTTGTGTAGCTACTGATTGTACGAGTTGGGCTCAAGTTGGGCTCAATATTATACACTCATCATATACACGAAAAGTGCAAACCCTCGGCGAACTGCGCATGCGCTGTACCACTAATTTAGCGTTTACTCGTGGTCTCCCGCTATTAGCTTGCAGAGACTCTCTGACACGGGCTAGCTACAGTAGTACGATAGCATGCGAGAGTTGATACACGTCATTCTCTTGTGCCTTCAAGATACACAGAGCAAGCGGACCCGGTGGAAGTAAGCTAGCCTGTGCTAAATATAAGCGCATGCGCATTTTCCGCAGCGATAAAATGGCCGACTACGTATTACAATGCTGAGCTTTGCAACGAAGCATTTTCAGAGAAAACCCTGACCTTAATTGCCGTTAAGTAGGTAGTATCGTTTTCGAGACGAGAAAACATTCGAGAAGTGAGATGTAGAGTGAAACCCAACTAAGGTAAGGGTAATTCGGAATAGCGGGTATTCGGAATAACTCACGTTGCGGCGGCTATTTTATAAAATATTTTGGTCAGGGCAGGCTGTCACTGTTATTACAGGTAGAGTTGGATGTTAGCTTATACATACCTGTGTTGCGCTCTATGTCCGTCGTGTCTCTTGCGTGAAGAGAGCTCAAACTTTCAGTTGACTACTGACTTCAAAGGTGAAAGGCGATCGGAAACTTCGATAGGCTGCTAGAAGTAGAGCAGACTACGGCGATCTAAAACAGCTAAAGCAGACTACAATGAAGGCTAAAGACATCGAACATGCAAGCTGCCCCACAGCCAGTTTCAGTGTAGCATACCAAGAGGTCAAAGTTTTGCGACGCGCGCAGCTAGCTCTGGCGCGCGCACACCTATGCGAGTAACGGTATAGAAAACAGTAATCACGACGGCTATAATCCTTTGTTTATGTGCAAAATAGTGTATTTACCTGGATATGTACGCTGCAAGCCATACAGGTTAGACGTATCGCTGCTGTAGCTCTACTATTCCGAATTACCGGCGCATGCGCATAACGGACGGGACCGAGAAATCGGTCCCGCGCGGACAAACGAAACGATGTAAAATTGTTCTGTTTTCGGCATGACAGAGAGTAAAGGTTAGTGTATCTCTGCGTTGGTTATAGTATTCCCTGGTGTTGATCTGCAATCAAAGAAGAACGTTTTTTCTGAAGTTCATTCCGAATTACCCTCCCTTACCTTACCCCTCGCTGCGCATGCGCGGTACTGCTAATTAATAGCGGTCTCCCGCTAGTAGCTTGCGGGGAGTCTGACACGGGCTAGCCATGGTAGTAGATAGCATGCGGGAGTCGATACACGCCCTTCGCTGTGGCTTCTTGTGCTTCCACGGTACACAGAGCAAGCGGATTATGAGGTCGAGGTGAGCGTCTGATACACGCATGCAAACCACTAATTGATGGGTTGGGCCACGCTACGTGGTCTGGGACTGTGCCAGTTTCTCGCGCTCGAACGCTGTCGTTTCAGAAATGCCATTTTACTTTTCATGCGCTTGTAGCACTGAAGCGTTTGGTATCGCTCTTAGGCCGCCTCGTAGCCTGTAGTGCGAGAATAGTCGCACTGTAACCGTCGCTCGCGCGAAGTGTTAATTAACGAATTGCACATGCTCTCCATTAACATATCAGGTCGTTCGTATTTACATAAATATACATGTTGTTCAATGCTCTCCATCGTGCATGATCATGTCCTCTAATTGGCTCCACCAATTGCTCTGGGTGCGCGGTCGATTGAAGTGCTACGTAGGGCATCTTCTCTAGACCAATCAATCGCACAATCGATGATGCTGAGCTTGCTAGCTAGCTACAGCTATAGGGCGGCGGGGCAGCGGTTTCAGCGCACGCCGAGGAGAGTTCTCTCACTGGCTTGATCGATCGGCGCATATCGCGAGGCGGCGTATGTTGGAAATTACGTAACGAAGTCGCGCATGCGCACTTAGACGGCGTACGCCGTAAATCGCGCCGTTCGGACCACTAGCTCCCGCTCGCCAATTACTAGCGCACATCGAGCAACCAACTCCACCTCCTCACCTCGCACACGTGTACTCTCAAGATGTCAGCGGCTGCGGACGTCTCTGACTGGATTGCCACTCCTGCTCCACTCAATAGAAATAAGTGTGGAGAGAACGCATGGTTTTCAAGTGATAACTCCATCGTCCAGCGGCAAGATCCTGGGAACTGGGGTGATTGTGTCTGTTACACAGTCCATCCTCTGCCTCCAGGGCAGGTGTGGCAGACTACCGTCCTCGAAACTACCAATAGGTGGGGTTTTGGAATGGTGAGTGGATGTGTACCAAATCTCCTATATACAAAGACCAGCAAACACAGCTCCACTATGACAGCTACAGTTTGTAACATATTATTGTTTTGTGTATGCAGGATCCATCTCATATGAGTGATCATGTCTTTTGAGCTAATTTTTATTTAACGAATGCAACACATGCATTTTCAGGAAAGTGTTACTGTATGTATAGTACCGACAATTAGTGTATTGTGCAATTCTGAAGACTATAGATATAATATTATGTTTTACCTTGCTTGCTAATTATGAACATGACAGCCTTGTGGGACAATTATGCCTTCACTCTATTGTTTGGTAGAGGAGAGGTCCTTCGGAATGAGCTACCCACCACCCAGTTCTCTAGGCTGGGCATCTGGTGTCCCACTCTCGTGTACAACATGTCGTGTAGTGTATAATTGTACACACTTTTTGTTGTGTGGTGTAATTAACGGCACTTAGTTAATGCGAGTTTCTACGAGATTTGAAAAACAAGGTCTCACATGTGAGTGCGTACTAAGGTTGTTTCTGCAGTAGAGCAATTGTAAAAGTTCTTTGTTGTGCATGTCTCTCTCATCATTGGCAGGGCCTGGAATGAGACTTAGTGCAGTGGCGTAGGAACCACGGGGGCTCCGGGGGCTGGTGCCCCCCTATATTTTCTCGGGCTTGCACGTAGAAAGTGAGCGAGTGTGACAGCGATAGCGCGCAGCGTACGATTTTTACGCATGCGCACTGGAGCCCCCCTTTGTCTGACCGTCTTCCTACGCTACTGTAGTGTTAGTTGTCACTCCAGACACACTCCTAGATCTTCCATGGTCACCAGTCTATCTGACTGTACTCTAGAGAGAGACAGAAAGGGAGGGAGCAACTGTTTGTGATCACTGCACACACAGACACACACTCCATGCAGCCAGTACTTTGCCATGCATACATACTACATACAGCCTACAAAGTCCTAATGATCTTCTCCATGTCTAGAATTAAATATGATGACAAGATAGGATTGTGTCTACTACTGTTTAGGTACATGTCTGTTTATCCTGTGTATTAACAGTGGGTGTGACACTGATATTCAATACAGTCACATCAGAGTTTCATCTACAGGGGGGCAGAGGGGGAAGCTTGTTTGATTTTGGAATGTACATTGACAATTAAAAAAACTGACGCCTACTTTTAATTATCTTGTGAGCTTGCAGCACTGATGAGTGAGTGGTACTTCCCCCCCCAATTCCAAACTCTAGATGAAACCCTGCACATGTCACACTAGGACTCCTTATTGAGACCAGAATGACTATATATGTGTAGTTGTGTTGTTAGGTACCTTGCGACCTAGTTGCTATTTACATATGCATTCGCACAAGTCTCTTTCTCAATTAGTAACTACCTAACGTCAATTTTTTCCATAATATTATGCTGGTTCTCTCTGCATTGTTGAGAATTGCTAATTAATTTTTCCTAGTCAGTAACAGCACTATTTGTACATGATATGTGATGTGATTACATATTTTCTCAGGGTGTTGGAGTGACTGCCACTCTACCTGATGTGGTGCCTTCTGACCAACCAGTAACTGGGTCTGGACCCCATGAGTGGAACTATGACTGCACATCATTATGGCACAACGAGAGGAAGCTGTCTTCAGATCTTCCTGATCTCTACAATCTCAATCCTCAACAAAGAGTCAGACTTCTTCTCCCTGCAATTGGTGATCTTCATGTCTTCATCGACTTGAAAAGGTAGCATAACAGGCTCGGGAAGTGTTAGCATGCTCACAATGTGTACATAATTATTATTATTATTATTATTATTATTATTATTATGTATACCGTTCCTTATAATTATTATACCATCCCTATCTAGTCTCTCTTCCTTTTCCACATATTGTGTAAAGGTAGCATATGGTCTGCCAGTAAACAACCATCTGTGGGGAGCAGTGAATGTGTGTGGCAACTGCACCAAGATCAAATCTGAGCTACTGAGTGGTGAGTTGGATGATATAGCATTCATGTTATCTGTATGCATGTATTTTTAGCATAATATGACAGTATAAAATCAAGTACTACTTGACATGTACATTCAAAACATTTTTATGTTTATACACATACTA